TATTGTAAATTATCTTTTATCCAGCATTTGCTTATTTTACCATGGAATAAAAATATGACAAATCTAGTCGACCCCGGTCATGTATGGCTAAAACAAGAGCTGCACTAAAAGTGTGGAATCATCAAAAAATCATGATGTCTAGAGAAAAGGGGTGCAGTACGCCAATGCTTGTGAATGAGTCTATTGCACATTATATTACAGCTCAATTCTAACATGAGCGCTGATTGGCGGATTTCATGAGAAAAGCTATGGTTTATTATTGAAGCATTATGTCAAGCGTTCATTTTGTTTCTCTACCGTAGCACTGAAGCAAGAGCAAATGTATACCCATAGCAAATGTTACCCATAGTAACTTTCGGTCGCTCATTAATCAATCTCTTGGCCAACGTTTTTATAAAGCTATTAATTAGATTCCGATTCTACGAATCATACAGCCTTTTGCAAAAATTATGAGAATTGTTGAAATATCTAAATATCATAATATCATTATTTACCATGGGTGGCGTCATGGAATCGTAAAAACTGTCGTTCATTAACGAGTCGATGTCGAGACGAAATACCACGAGAATCATAAATYTAATTTTTACCACACAAAAAGAACCTCTTCAAATAGATCACAATCCCGGAAAAAAGGACAATCTTGTGATTGTGGTATGTACTTGTATTTACCAAGCCTCCCACCAATCAGACATCGAAAAAATATTCAATTGTGGTGAAAATTCTATTTTCTGTCGATAAATGACATGGAAGATGAGTTTATCTGTTTATATAAACCTGTTAATGATGTTTTTGGACTAAACTTCATTCTGAAAAGCCGACCAGTTGTGACATATACCGCGCGCACTAATAGAAACCTTTGGAAAAATTATGTCGCTAGTGGGATTTGAGCACAGGCAGGGCACTCCATATGCAGCTTAGTTTTAAGCAATTATTTTCTGTACTTTTATTGTATTCTATTAATTGTGTATACGTCGATTCAGCCGAGAAGCATGCTTTAGCTTTTACAGCTGTAATTGATATTCTCTGATTAACGATAATAATTTTATAATTTCAGTAAAATTACAGCTAATTATTTGGTAATTGGCGTCCCAAACTGACATATATAGTCGAAAACTAAGTCTTGACAGCCAACACTAATATATAACTCTAGGCTAGCTGATATTTCAGAATTTCAATTTAATACTCATGGAGTATTTATCAATTTGAAATATTACCTAGCGACACAAAAAAAAAAAACAAACAAACAAACGAACAAAACCACCCAAAAAGGAAACAGCAATTAAAAATCAGATTTAATTACCCACGATGCAACCAATTTAGTGATGTGGATTAGGAATTAAAAATAGATCTAGCTGTCGAGATATTTGGTTCTAACTTGACTTATTCTGGTTGTTATCGTTCGTTGTTATATTATCATTTGTAGTATTCTTGTGTAAAGCGTGGCCATGGTCATGRACAGTTTGGCTGTTTTCTTCAAGCTCTGTAGTTTGTTTATTATCGCAATCCGCAGTCCCCAGCTGACTAGTATCTTCTTCAGAGCCAGACGCGTCATAATCTTCATCGTTTGCCTCTTCATTTTGTACAACATAWTCCATTACACTGTCATTTCTCTCTTCCCCAATATCGATGTTTTCGTTATCATCCATAGCATATACTGGAACAAGCCTTGCAAAAACTTGTACTCGATGATTTTTAGCATCAGCAACGATGACACTACCACTGTTGTCAACAGTGACATCGTAAGGTGTGTTCAAGCACCCAGGCTCATCACCAATTCTCCCAAAACTCCCGACATATTCGCCCTCAAGCGAAATGACTTGAATACGGTGGTTCTGACTGTCAGCGACTAAAATGTTCTCCTGAGAGTCTAGTGCTATTCCTCTCGGGTATGAAAATTTACATGCGCCAAGACCTTCAGTACCGATTGTCTTCGGTCTTAACGCTTCTTCTCGAGGGAACACTTTTAACAGATGTTTGACGTAATCTGACACTATTACGTCACCGTGTTTGGTTACAGTTATTCCTATTGGGTAGTTGATTTCTTCGTGACTACCAATGAATTGCAAGAATTTGCCGTTTGCAGCGAATTTCTGGATTCGGTGATTGGCTCTGTCACCAGCGTAAATGGAGCCATTGGAGTCAGTGGCAACCGAACATAGGTGAGGTCTTCGGTCGTTCTTGCTGTARACTGGAAGAATTGGACGAAGAAACTCACCTGAAAAAGAACCAGTAAACTATATTTCATTGAACCGGTTAACATCTGTTTTATTCATCWTTATCAATTTGTCTCCATYGTCTGAGCATMMGAACGGTRTCGAACGAGACRTACAKACTTAAATGTTACGAAAGGTGCTGTAATCCAGACGCCRAAACTTTTCATAAAAGCTGTATTRTAAATTGTATCGCAAAGGTCCATAATCCGAACCTGCATACACCACAAGCTTTTACTTATGTCTTTTTGGAGATAAGAATACTCAAAAATAATTAAAAAAAACTACACTTTATATTCCGTTTATCCTCTGTCAACGGAGATATCGTAAGATTCCCTCTTAAAACAGACTGATGGAAAAGTATTGAGAACGGTTCAGTAATTGAAGTCATCTCCGGCAATTTTATAGTCCTTGTTCTGTACTAATAGAAATTTAGTCACGACCGCATTGCATGCAGGTTGATGATGGCCCTTCAAATCATATACATACCTTTATTGTTGAAAACTCTGATGATCTGTGAGTCAGTCATCACCAGATCTCCTCGATAATTAACAGCTACTGCGCATGGTCGACATTTCCCTCCAATTTTAAGCGGTTGCCGTTCAATTGCTCCCTCGTACGAGTCGATCACGTGTAYCCGTCCGTTTCCATGGTCAGCAACATGGAGATTTCCTAAGAAATCTACAGCTACACTCACAGGCAAGTTGAACTGAGGAGGTGAAATGCCTTTCCCTTTACGACCGATGATCGTAGTTTCTTGTCCCGTAAACTCGTTGTAATCAAGGACCTAATACATGATGAATGAAAAATATCAGTGGTCAATTTCAGTCCCTCGCATGTCATTGTAAATAGAAAACATAGGCTCCATTCATAGGATTCCAGATAATTTTGTATCCGCGGATTTTGTTTATCCCTAGCTATAAAAAATATTTGCGCCCACATTGGTAGCGTTTACGCATCATATTCGACCGACTACGTACCTGACCGCTACGTACGCGGATATCTCAGCGGCTAAGTAAACAATAGTAAAATGGTGGGAACTAGCGGTAAACTAGTGTGAGCTGCGTCGGTGTTTCTAAAGAAACAGTTATGTAAAAAGATAAATTTAACACCGTAAAAATTTATCTTTTTACATAACTGTTAAGTAAACAATACATGCGCAGTACTAAGAAAGCTGATGCTGTGATGCCACTGTATCCMAATATATCCGAATACCAGCGCGTCCACTGTGGACACGTGTTGACGGGCCTTACTATCGGACTAACTGCCGGATATAAGTAAAATTTTATACACCTAACGTAAAAAGCGTTACCACAGGTTGAAAAGGGCTTCATSTTCAAAGCTAAGACCATAAGGGTTTTTCGGGTACTATGAAAGCTGAATCATATTTGCAAACAAGTACATTATAACATTACTAGTATCTGAGGAGGCCATTCATGATATACAATCCAGGCAAAACAAGTGAACTTCCTGCTTCCTTTGGCTCCAGGTCCTAGCTTTGATGTAAGCTTTTGAACCTGACAATGTTTTGTCAATTCAGGGTGAAATCATCTTTTTAGCCCAAGTGCTTCATGTAATGACATGACGCAGCTCACTGTTATCATTAGCGAGTTATGTTAAACATCGTATCATTTATAGAATAGTTCGATCAGTAATAACAGGCGTTGTGGTGGGCGATATATAGAGGATATTACATGGGCGCGCGGAAATACGGATTTTATCTTCGAGTGTTGAAAGACTTTCAACACGAGAAGATAAAATTCGTATCTCCAAGCGACCATGTACTACCATGTTATACTTGCTTGTACTCTCTTGTACACCATACCTTATATTCCAGAGTATTATCTTGACGTATGCATTCAGCCCTTGAAAAAGACTTCGCTGTTAATCGACTGCGCGACCTCGACGTCCATCCAGGTGTCATGGGTTTTTGACGGTCAGTGTCTGCTAAATCGACAGCCGTATTGTCGAGTTTCTCTTGAAATTCCATCTTTATACGGTGGTTCTTGTGTACAGTATGTTTAACTATCCGTATTTGTAACACTAAATCGTGAATACAGTCTTCAAGTCTTATGATTTCCTCGGTACGATGACGAATTTCAACATGGATCGATCTAATTTCGTCCAGTGTCTTCTGGTATTTGGCGACCAATTCATCTTCACCTTTCTTCTCAGTTTCATATTCATTCATTTTTTCTTTCAATTCCATCTTGATACCCGCACTGTTTTTACTAACTTCGAGCTTTTGTTTAATTTTGTCGAGATCAACTTCGTGTTTCTTTAAAAAGAAACGTACACTTTCCAGTTTACGCTCAAATGATTCAATTTGGCTTTGGTTTTCTTTGATTTGCTGCTTCAGTTTAGTGATTTCGTCTTCTTCGCTAGCAAGTCTCTGTTGCAATGTTTGCATCTGAGTCTCGAATTGCTTTATTTCGCTGGTCGACTCTGTTTCGCTATCTTCTATGGATCTTATTTCCTTCTCAAGTCGGTCCATCATTCGTAGTAATGCTTCTCTCTTATCATTCCGTCTCTCATTTCTTCCTTTTTCATGTCCTTGATCAGCTGTTACGAGGATACACAAAATAGATTTTAGTTTCATTGAGATGAATTAGCGTTGGCTTAATAATACTTATAGTTAATAGTTATTTTTTTTGAATGGTTCATACTTATTTTTTGAATGGCGGGCAGCTTATGCACTTACATTTTATAAAAACTGGATAAAACAATTTTCCTGAATTTATTACCAACAAGTCACTGCTCACCATCTCATGYCGATGTCATTGATTTTAATCGAAAAGCAAAACTACACATGAGATCCAAAACACAGAATAGTACAATTTCAAATAACATAATCGCAAACTTATCTTTGCTTTCACTCCTTTGAAAMGCTTGGCGCCAATACATGTAGCTCCGAGTTTGTTTGCTCATCTGCTCGTCAGTGGCAATTATAATATTGTGAATATTGGAAATTGGCTTCCCTCTWAAAGGAAGTACTATATCTAATCTTTCCTATAAGTTTTTATCAAGAATAAAAGCAACTATCATTATTCCTGAACTGTCCCGACGGGGCATTTAATATCACAAAATAATGTTTGCATACTACAAGACATGCTTACCAAAGTTAATACCAGGAGACAACTTCTCCTTGAACTCATCTAGTAAATTCACAAGTTTCAAACACTTCACTTCAACAAGAAGCTTTCGCAGAAATGCAAGTCGCTTTTCAGAGACCAAGCCACGTTTTTGCAGGATTTCGACCAGGTCAAGTCCAGAGTCTCCGAGATGTTGTAATGTTTCTTTGTTGATGTGTCCTTGTAGCAAATATTTCATGTATCGCACCCGATCATCATCAAGATCTTTCCCAATGTTATGAAGAAGGCTAGCAAAAGACGAAGGAATGTCCGTATATGTGGACATTATCCTTATTAACTATTAGATATGTCTGACTGCAAGAGAGGGGTCCATATTCTATCCATAGTAACACATCGGTGTTGCCAACGGAAMAGTGATTTGCATTCACTAAGTCCGGTTTGAATGGTAAACAAAGGATGAGTCACGGTCGACTGTCAAGTCAATAAAACCCAGGATTTATTACAGTGCTAATCCATTAAAGTCATTATAGGTGGACTAATTGGTTCCTAACACTTCCTAAAGAGACGTTTTTGCTCTAAATCAACTCGGTAATTGTAAAAAAATTATAAGGAATGATGGAAAACCTTCAATTTTTYKCCATCAACTACAAGCTACAAATAGTATACCAAGAACTATTTATTATTTTGTGACCAGTAAAATAGCTACGTTGTTTCGTTAATGCATAGTTAAATAGRAG